GCTCTGATGAGGGGCTATCCATCAGGTCAACCACCCCCCCCCCCCCCAAAAAAAAAGACCCCCACCCAAACAACTATGTATTTAGGATGCACCTAGTAGCATGACATTTATTAGGAATAAAGACTTCTGAGTTCCCATGCATTTCTGCGTGCGGTGGTCATTATGTTACCGCTGTGCGGTATCCAGTTTGATGTAGCCCCAATAGAAATGTCAATCAATAGGACAAACCCACATTTTACTGTCTATWGGACAGATATCTGAACTCCACTACTCATGCTGTTCACGTTCATTTAGCTGTCTAATGTCTGTCTTGAACTCTAAACACAGAAAATAGCCTCTAATCTTTCACACAAGCTGGACTTTAGCCACCTGGTTACATATATTAAATTAATTACTATCACCAGCCTTTTGGTCTAGATTGACARTTTACATAGAAATTAATTTTCCATCCTTAGGTCATCTGTTTGAGAGCACCAAACAGCTCACAACATAAAGGTAGAATTCTTTAAAACACATCCTTACATTTTTAAAACACCCCAGAAATAACAAAAAATCCAGATTTATTTTTACATTATTTTTTTAAGTACATAGTTTGGAAAAGAGTATTGCTGAACGAGTGCAGCTTGATAGACTCGCTTTAAAATTACGAAACAGCAGGGCCCTTGAACTTAGATTATCAGTATGTTAAAGGTTACAAATGTTTCCAGGACACTTTAACCGCTGTAGTATTTCATCACACCACAGCCAGTCRGTCTAGTTAGAATTAGTTATTATTTTGTTTTGTTATTCTGCTTTTTTATTTACTTTTATTCTTGCGCAGCAAGTTCTTCAGTCTTCTTTTAAATGTCTGTCTAGTTTTAGTGTATCCTGTGAAACGGCTTAAACCCTGTGTGTGCTGGAGATAAACTGCCTGATACTGCCTGTGTGTTCAGAGGTTAAGACAGTAATAAGGCCACACGGTGACACTGCATAATACTTCAGATTGAATAGTTTTTATGAGAGAATGATAAGAAAATCATTCAGGATTTCATCACTCTTTTACCCTTTAACTGTTTAGGAAATGACTAATATAAATGGTCTAAATTAATAAATAGAAGGTAAATGTGCAGGACAGTAGTGTGGTCACATGGTTATCGTATTTGTTTTTGAAGGCCTGAGTCACACTGGAGTCAGTTCCCCTCAGAAGTCATAATTTAAATGCACTTTTAGGCATTTTTTGTTGATTTATTATTATATATTTGCCCAAGTTGTTGTGAAAAACCTCACTAACTCCAAATGTTCACATCAAGATATTTGCTTTAAGCTTGGAATAACTAAATACAGCTAAATCTGTTGGAAAATAATCATTTCAACATACAGCAACATAGTGAAAACAGCATGAATCAATAAGTCAGTAGTGATAAAATGATCTGAGGTGTTTTATTATTATTATATGATTGACAATGTCCTAATTGCTTTTCATGGAGGAGGTAGGATTTAAAACTTATTCTGGAACCAGCTGACAAAATTGCTGGTCCTGTTCTGGCTTCAACTTCTGGCTTCCAGTTCGATGTAGTCTTTGGCTGTGACCCCAAAACTGACAAAATTATCTCTTCAAATTGCAGGAGTGTTTTAGTTTAGGTGTAGTTTTATAAAAACAGCATCGAAGCTTCTGGGGGTGGGGTAATTTGTTATTTGTGCACATAACAAAACCTCTGAAAAATCAGAAAAGGACAAAAAAATAATGCTGGGATATTRAGARCAGYGAGTTGAAATCCGGRAAAAAAAGCCACTGATGRTGAAGAAATTAARAAACTACGGAGCCCGCGAGGGGACATGTGAGGAAAAAATAAATAAAAACGGATCCTGAYTTTTGTTCTCAGGATCTCGACTTTCGTTCTCGGGATCCTGAGAAAGAAAGTCAGGATCCATTTTTATTTATTTTTTCTCCCATGTCCTCTCGCGGGCTCCGTAAGAAACTAATCTTAATATTCTGTTCTTTTTTTCTACTGAAGTGACAAAAAAGTGAGTTGAGGAAAGGAAATTTTAGTTGATTGAGCTTTTTTTAAGAAGGAAAAGTTGGTGAGCTTAGTGGACATTGTGTACCAGTTGAGCAGATTTTTTTTTTACTATGTGGAGAAATGAAAATGTAACAAATCACAGCTTCATCTTCAATCATTTGAAAGAGCTCTTGACATGTTTATTATCGTTGCACAGTTACTCGCTTTATTTCCCTTTTAGTTCAACAAGTTGTAACCGTTGTTAAAATTCCAAACATCACACGGCTGTTCTGATGTTATCCGTTTCCTCAAAAGAAAAGGGAGTTGGTTTCCTATTACATGTGGCTTTGCACGCTACCACTCTCGTGGCGACTGCAGCAGTTTTACCTGCATGCGTGAGAAGACAGACTAATGCTACTACCGCTAATGCTCCAGAGGCACGCATGTGTCTGTTTTCCAGGAGGAGGAGTGAAAGAGCAGCCAAAGTAAACAGAGAGGACTTTGCTCAAATGGTTCAGGAAGTAACGCAATGACCTGCAAGTTATTAGTTCACTACTTAATGAGGCATAATTAACACAAAGTATAATTATTAACATGTTTTAAACTATACTTTGTGTTGAGCAAGCACCAAGTCATGTACTTCAGTGATTAACTGGAGACACCCACCAGTGCTGAGACTCCCCCCACACAGCGTTAGGATCTCCCCAGTCTTCCTGCAGTTATATAAGAGCTTGACTCAAATTGCAGCCAGCACTTCCTGCGAAATTTCCTCACACACTCTCACTCCCACACACATAAAGCCAGCCTCTAACAAAAGGCACCAGTAGCTCAGAAAAAGACAGCTTGCAGAGCTGAGAGGAGGCAATGAGAGGCAGGGTGTGGTTTCCCACAGCAGGGCTGCTGGTTTGGCTGTGCTGCCTCAACGCAGGGTCTGTTCAGGCGGGGAAGGTGGTGGCTCTGCCTGTGGATGGAAGCCACTGGCTCAGCATGAAGATACTGGTGAAGGAGCTGACCCGCAGGGGCCACGAGGTCACGGTGCTGGTGCCTGAAAGCAGCCTGTTGATCAAAGGTTCAGACAGCTACAAGACAGAGATCTACCCGGTGCCGTACACCCAAGCTGAACTGGATTCGATTTTAAACAGTTTCAGGGAAGGCGTTTTCGAAAAACACCCGGGAATTATGGATTTGTTTGCCAATGTTGATCGTTTGGTGAACTTTACTTCCATTCAAGTGACAGCTTGCGAGTCTTTGCTGGACAACGAGCCTTTGATGCGTCAACTAAAGAACGAAGGGTTCGACATCCTGCTCACAGACCCTTTCCTTCCCTGTGGCTCTGTCCTGGCTAAGATACTGTCCATCCCAGCCGTTTATTTCCTGCGTGGACTCCCATGTGAGCTGGACGTGAAGGCTAACCAGTGCCCCTCTCCACCTTCCTATGTCCCTAAGTTTTTTTCCGGTAACACTGACCGCATGGACTTCCCACAGAGGGTGAACAACATGTTGATGTTCTCTTTAGAGTCCTACTTGTGCACTGTGTTGTATAAGCCCTTCGATGGTCTGACAGGCAGGCTCTTTGACATGACTTATAAAGAACTTATAAGCGAGGGGGCTATCTGGCTCCTCAGACATGACTTTACTTTTGAATGGCCTAAACCTCTCATGCCTAACATGATTTTGATTGGAGGGATCAACTGTGCAAAGAAAGCTCCTCTGCCAGCGGTGAGTTTAAAGATAAATCTTTACAAGCGCATATTTGCATGTGTCCCATCTGGAATTAATGAGGCAAATCTCTTGTCACTTTGAGCTTGAACTTTAATGGAGAGCAGAAAAAACTTGTACAGTATAAATCTATAACAATTCTTGTACGTGTTCAAAAAACAAACTTTTACACGATTAAAAAAATTGAAAAGAGACTGATATCTGAAGCATTCCAGAAACTATTTCATCTGTTTTTTTAAGATGCGTTTTCAAATACGGTAGAACTTGTTTGGCTGCTGTTGCAATGGATTCTGTGGGAGAATTTGATCCAGATTTTTGAACTATGGCCAATATACCAGGAAAAGAAATGAGGGGCCCCAGTTATGTCAACAGAGATCAAATGCTTTGCAAAAACAATAGGTTTGTTGACATAAGCCCAAAGACGGTTATGCTGCCAGGATCAAATCATTACTTTTACACTGTGCTATTGAAATTCACTTTTTTAAGGGTTTTATGAGAAAATACAGCTATGTGGTGATGTAATGGTTTTACAGTAACATTTATTTTCAGACTAAAGATTGAGACTGTTTGCTTTCTTAATGTAATCTTTCTTTAATCTCTTCGCAGGATTTGAAGGAGTTTGTGGAAGGCTCGGGAGACGATGGCTTTATTGTCTTTACACTGGGTTCATATGTGGCCAGCATGCCAGAAGAAAAAGCTAAAATGTTTTTAGATGCTTTCCGACAAATACCTCAGCGGGTAAYTGACTCTCGTTTGACTGCTTTGTGTACTTTTTCTTTTTTTAGCTATAAAAAAGCAAACATTACCACACTAACCACTCTCACGTAAGACTGAATTAGGTTAAACTGCTGGACTTTGTGCTCTGCTTTGCTGTACAAGTGTTAGAGCATTCATTCATTACCTAAGCATTCAGAAGGTATAAACGAGGTATGATTTGTGTTTTAGGTCGTGTGGAGATACACAGGTGTGCTACCCAAAGATATACCCAAGAATGTCAGAATTCTGAAATGGTTACCTCAGAACGATCTCCTGGGTGAGTTTGACACAATATCTACAAAAAAAAAAAAAAAAACATAAACAAAACTCTTGCTAAAATCAACAAACTCGACCTTAACTGAGATTTCTTTGTCCTCCCCAGCCCACCCCAACGCTAAAGTCTTCATGACTCATGGAGGTACCCAYGGTATATATGAAGGTATCTGTAACGCCGTGCCCATGTTGATGTTCCCACTTTTCGGAGACCAGAGAGACAATGTTCATCGAATGGTGGCCCGGGGTGTTGCTGAGGAGATGAGCATCTTTGAAGTGACAACAGAAAAACTGGTGGCTGCCCTGAGCAGAATGATCCAAGACAAAAGGTAAGACACCTGGATGTTGAATGAATGCCGACAAAAAGTAAATATATTTATACTTTAGTCAAGTACGCGTTTTAAAAGTAGAGTTGTGGTGGAAAATAATTGTCTATGTTTCATCATTAGATTGCATAGATTTGCTTGGTCCCTGCTAACAAAAGAAGCAAAATAACAGACAAGACAGTTAATAATTTACCTTAGAAACTGAGAAGATCCAGAATTTTAGCCATGTAAAATAAAAATAAAAAACATGATTAAATTAGTACATTTTTTGTCTGTTTCATCATAAGGGGTATTGTATCTTGCACACAGGCATAAAGGTGCAAAGTGGTGTGAAACTGACGGGATTAGATTTAAAACCATAGTTTGGTCAGGTTTCAGCTTCTTGGAACACACAGCACAGTTTGAAATTCCACTTTTTTTTCTTATTTAACCCCTAAGAATCTACCTTAGCTCTCCATCAGCTACTTACATTTTATTGATCTTTTTTTTATGAGACAGGTTTGTGATTGCTAAACACAAGTGGTGTGGAAAACTACTTGCTTGCTTTTTAGCTGATATTTTCAATAGTTGAATAAAAACCAAAAGAAGTCATAGATGAGACATGTTTTGGCTTTTCCAGGCAGTTTGCAAAAAAGCAAACTGTCAGCCAGACATATATATTCATATACATATATATTATATTTTGCCCACTTCCTACTTCCAGGGTCACGGGGGGTCACTGATGCCCATTCCAGCAGTCACTGTGCGAGGGGTAGACTAGTGCATCCTAATTTTTTTTAACATTAACATTTCATTACAGATGTTTTGGCCTTCAGAAAAATGTTTTTTGGGGAGGTCACCTCCCAATAAAATACTAAAAAATAAATACTTTTTTTTACTCACGTTTTAGAGGAGACTAACTTTTACCAAAGTAATTTTATACTCAAGTATCACTTTGAGATACTTTAAACAAGACTATAACTCATCTAAAACAAGGTTTGTGATAGAGAGTAAAGACAAACAAAAAATTAACAAAACGTGTTTTTATTTTCTTCAGTTATAAGGAGCGGGTTGTGGAGCTGTCCCAGATCCACCTGGACCGCCCTGTTGAGCCTTTGGACCTGGCTGTTTTCTGGACCGAGTTTGTAATAAGACACAAGGGAGCGCCACATCTGAGGGTGGCYGCACATGACTTGAACTGGGTTCAGTACCACAGCCTGGACGTCGTCGGCTTTTTACTCACGGTTCTTGTCGTCACTTTGTGGGTGATGCTGAAGTCCTGCCARTTTTGCACTCGCAAATTTTGTGGGAAGAAAACTACAAAGAAAAAATCTGAATAGCACCTGACAAAAGAAAGTATTAAAATACTGCTGTGAAGTCTGGTGTACTGTAAATGTGTTAACTGTGTGTATCTCAGCCATTTCCTCTTTTGGCCATAACAAACATAAAAACTAGCTCATTAAAAAGTTTACAACAGTAAAATTCATCCATCCATTTACTTTCCTTATCTGCTTTTCCATTAATAAACATAATTTAGTCATTGTTATTTTAACATCTGGTTAAAAATATTTCAGTAGTGAGAAGATATTTTATATTAAATCCAAATATTGCTTGAGTTAGAAGTTCAGTTCATTTCCTGAAGCTGTTTTGAGCAGCTTTAGATCATGTAAACAGTAAATAATGTGCACTTTTTTTTTTAATTTTGCTCAGAAGCTTTAATAAATATCTTCAATCCATAACGCCAGGATGCTAACATTAAATACTGCAACTAGTCAATAGTCTGCATAAAGACCTTTGGGAGATATCTGCACTTAAGTGTTATTAGAGAGTTGGCCTCAGATGCATCATTCATAAGTAGTAATTTGGTGCTCACTGCAAAGTCATAACTACAAAACAACAATCGTAAYGATAATAATATTAATATTAATAATTGTAACTCTAATACTAAAAATAATAATGGTTAGTGAGTCTTTAAAACAAATTTTACAAGCTAAACATTGTGACCACATGTCAACTACTATGTCCATGTACCTACAGAAACAGCCAAAGTGACTGAAAATAGGTCAACATTAAGCTTAATAGTACAGCAGTTTTGTTAAAGGTGTCCATGTTTGAAAGCTGAGTTCAGTTTTTCATTCTGCTCAATCCTTGATATTTAATACGGACAGCCATCTTGCTCAATCTGACATTGTGATCATTGCAAAAAAAAAAAAAAAAACAACAACACATTTTGGGAATTAGTGACGAGTGAATTCTGGCTACCCAGAAATGTAACAATGATCAGTTTAAACCATGCCACTCTCTAGTGRTATGTTTTACTTTCAGTGGTTCATTATGCTGTAACTGCAGAACCTGTTTGGTAAGCACCCCCTCCCACCTCTATACCGTAGACATTGTGGTTGTATGGGTACAGACCTATAATGTCTAGCATTACAGAGCAGGTCTTCCTGTTTCCCATGAAGCTACTTCAAAGTGCAAACAAACAGTTTAACCCCTTAAAAGTCTCTGCTCCACCMGTGGGCAAGAATGGTGCAGTTTCTGCCTTTAGTTTCCACACGTTTCCAGATGCTACCAGGGCTTCTTATTTTGTATTTTTTTTTTTCCTTTTTTGTGTGAAAACCAGACTGTCTCACGACTTCCCCCAGTTCTTCCCTTTAGCATGACACCCTTACAAAAAATAAAAAAAATGTCAAAAAGGCTTTTAAGGAATTTCAGGGGCGACTGTTTAAGTGCACAAGTCACAAAAGTGGTCATTGAAGGTGTTTTCCTACAGATAACCTGCACTTCTCAACTTGGTCTCTACATTAATAATAATAATAATAATAATAATAATAATAATAATAAAAACATGTTGTTTTGTGCAACTAATGTTAAAAGCAATATAATACAAATATCATGTGACAGACGGTGTTAGAAAAATGAGAACTGAACAAATTGTGCCACCTAGTGGACAAAAGGTTGAATTAATGTCAAACGTTTAATCAGCTTGCCTTAAAATATCAAGTTGATCCTACCTTTATTGACAATAAAATTAATGTCTATCAAAATTTAATAACAGATGTAAGAAATATCATATAAATGTTTTGTTTTTTCATAAATATATAGCATTTAAAAATAAGAATGACATCACCTAAAGTGGGCAATAAAACAGGGAGGACACAGGATAAAAAAAAAATGAATCAACGATTTCATTTAAGTAAGTCAGTATTAAAAAAAAACATTAAATAAACCAAAGCAATGAAATGATTCATGTCTCAATAATACTGCATGAGAACAAATGTCACCTTTGACAAAGCAGGTGGGGGGTCAGCACAAGTTCCATCTCTTGCTTGTGCAGACACACGTTTATTTCCTACACCACAATGTTTCCGTTGTGATCTTGGGGGTCGACTATGGGGGGTGTCAAGGTGTTAAACTGCAAACTGTTCATCTTTACCTTGTGTGCAACCATGATACAATCAAGCTGCATCATTTGCATTGCTCTGCTGGTTACCTTTACTGGTGGGACCTGATTATTTTCTTTAAATACTTTTTACTGAAATGGTGGAGGGTATTGCTAAGACACAGGAAGTTTTCCATATTTAAACACAAGTTGCTTTTAAAAAGCAATTTGACCTTTTTGTTTCATGACAGGGGCCAGTGAGAGCGGCATTGTAGATGGTCGGGTTGCAAAGCCCCACTCCAGACCCTAGCATCACTCCAGATTCAAAAACAACATTTGTGTGGTGGGGTACTTATTCACAGAGACTTTGTTTTAACTGCAGCCCACTGCAAAGAGTGAGTTTACACAGCAGCACACAGTTTAACTCACAATTGTTAATCTAAGTTTATTTACAACTTGTTGAACATAGCTTTACAAATTGACAAAAACCTAAATGAATTATTCAAACTAAAATTAATGAAGAGTTTTAAATGGTCGATTAGGTCTTGGTGCTGAAATCTAAAATATACATTTGTGTTTTTTAGTAAACAAGGACGTGAGATGATAGTGGTACTCGGAGCACATAACACCAGCAAAGAAKAGAAAAGTCAGCAAAAAATCAAAGTGAAAAAGTACCACTTGCATCCAAAATACACTGGAGGGTATGACTTTGATGCAATGTTACTTGAGGTAAACTAAAACTAATTAAAATAATACATTGTGCAATTATTTTTGCAATGTTYATAAAATTATTTACAGAAAACCACTTGACTTAAATTTCAAATTTCAGTCAGCCATTGGGAGTAGTTTTCTGTAAACAAGTTTTGTGACCATTCAAATTAATTTGTTTGAATATGTTAAAGAGATAAGCTGCATCTTCAAGATTTTTTATTAATCACATAAAATAAGTTCTCTTTTTTTATCAGCTGAAGAATAAGTCCAAACTGAATAAGTATGTGAAGCCAATGGGACTACCTGAGGAAGATGAAAAACTCCCTGCTAATACTAACTGTGCTGTCGCCGGCTGGGGCCAAACTGGACCAGAAAACTCAGCTTCAGACCTTCTGAGGGAGGTCACAGAGAAGCTGCAATTTAGCTTCGAGTGCAAACATATTTGGAAAGAATATTTTAATTTTCAACATATGGTTTGTACAAAGTTTGACAGAAAGAATGGAGCAGTATGCCAGGTAATAAACTAGTTAACATAAATGCGATTAAATAAGATTTTGTTGAATTTTTAAAAATGGTTGTTGATAAAACATTATAGGAGCTATTTTTAATATGTAGGCTAAAAATGTTTCATATCTTCTGACAGAAATCTTCCCCCTTTATTTATTTTTTTTTAGGGGGATTCCGGTGGGCCGCTTCTCTGCAACGCCAAACTTCAAGGCATAACTGCTTTTACAGGAGATAAAGGCTGTGATAATCCAAAATATCCCCATGTCTTCACTAAAGTTCATGTTTTTTCTTCCTTGGATTAAAAAAGTGATTGGAAAAAAGACTGTAACTTAGAAAATGTCTAAATGGCAGTGTCTACAATAAAAAAATTGATTTCATWTGTTTATTTATGTTTTACAGAAGCGTTTTTGTCTTGCAAACCATCTGCAAATAGTTTACCAACTAGTTACAGACAGTTTAGTTTTAACCCTCCTGCTGACCCACATGACTAACGACCCACAAGACCTTTTGACCCAACGGTTATGTTAGTAAGTCATGCACATTCAGCAGCTAGAGTATTGTTTCCTGTGTGCTATGCTTTAACTTGAAACGTAAAAACCCACCAGTGCAGAAATAAAACCACAGACTGCTGCTGGCTGTCAGTTATTGTGAAACCTTTAAAAAAAAATGCTGTTCTCTCTTTGAAAATAAGGTTAGTGGTAGATTAAAAAGTATTTGTGGGTAAAAAAAAATCCTCCTTCGTGAAAATTTTCCTCTGGGGAGAAAATATCCAATAACTTCACTTGCTTAAGGTTGTCACACTAGACAACTTTTGCCAATTTATGAAACACATTTTTATGTCTAAATTGCTAATAAAAGTTGTATATTTGATCAATTTGTTAGAATTACAGTATGCACACACATAACATAAGCTTCCATTAGATTTTTTCAATACCATCTTATCTTAAATGTAGATGTCTTGAAAATRTACATGATTTGGCATAAGTTTTCTAAAACGTCAGAGTGTTACAGGATCTTCAGATCAAATGAGACACGAATAATCTGACTTTTCAATTACCTGTAAAAAGTTTCAAACACACGCAATGTTAAAAAGAATGTAATTCTTTAGGAATTCAACTCAATTTATTTATGGTACATAGCATCAAATTTTAATGGGGCATCGTATAAAAATAAATACATTTAAAGAAGCCACTTCATCATCATGAATCGCTTCATAGCAGTCTCCCATCCTGAGCAGCACACTGGTGAGAGTGGAAAGAAAGGCTCCTGTCATGTCATGCAACCATCCTGGGATTTTCTTTTTACACACAACATGTATTTAATATGAAGCATTTGAAAACAGCATTTATAAAATAAGTGTAAATAAAAACGCAAACTGAGTTTGAAGACAGAGTTAAAACAACATCTCAGAGAGGGTGGTCTCAGAGTGACATGATGTCACAGCAGGARGTGGCTGTGTTAGGGGGCTGTCTTTCTCTGGCTAATCTGAAAAAAAAATCAAGTTTCACTGCATTAAGGTTAAGACTCTTTGGAAGAGGTTTAAAGACATCTGTATTTAAACACACCTCAAGGGAAGGTGAGAAACCAACATTATTTTCATATTATCCTCTTTGAAATGTTTACAAATGCTCTATAAAACTCAAACAAAATTTTCATTTGTTTTAAAAGGATGCTCTTGTTGAATAATCTTTGAATCCAACAAAAGTTGTAACAGTTGCTTCTAAAAGTAACCTAATCAATAGAAACACTAGAATTTTCTGTTTCATTTTGAATAAAATGAAGATATTTTTTATGTATCTAATTTATGAATGTTTTTAAGAGAAATCTTGTTTCACGTGTGAGGAGATACCCCCAGAAGGAATCTCCTAACATCATTGTAATGTATTGCAGAGACAGTTTTAATTAAAACACTACTCAAGAGTTGTAACAATCTGCGGTATGCAACTGTTTCTTCACCTCTGAGTGTGTCGRTCAGTTTTTTGCCCTCTTGAGATCATATGTTGGTAGGAAGTTACTGGTTTCTACTGCTAGCACTGCTGAGGACGTCTTCCTGTTTCTCAGGAAGAGATGGTCAAAGAAAACATGTTGCTAGAAAAAAAGATTTCGTACTTTTGTCATACTATTTTGTTTCATTGTTCAACTCTCAATGTTACATTAAAAATTCTATTAATATATCATATTTACATTTTTTCTGAATCAGCATAATACTGCTGGGGGTTTCTGGGGTGGTGCTTATCCCAGCAGTCAGCATCCATACCTAAAATATTTTAACATGATCAGTCTAAAATATACTTTTACAGACTGTGTTAGCATATATTTTTGAGTTTGTGACTTCAGGTGAAGGCATTAGAATGCATAATATATCATGCAGATATTGTGCACATAGCTTTTAGTAGAAGTACAGGAGGTTTCATAAAAGTGAAACAATAGGAGCCCCACCTATGTGGACCTAGTAACAAACTAAAAAAATATTAAGTGGCCAAGCATATTTATTGTATCAATTTGGTCTTTTGTTGTCAGTACATTTATTAAATCTTGAGTTTTATTATTTTAAAACTCTAATTTTGCAGTACAAGTAGGTTTGCAGAGCACCAAAAGTTGGGTTAAGAAATCCCCGCCACAGGATCGCCACCTTAACATGGCGGAGGGATTTGAGTATACCCCTGTGATCCCAGGGGCTATGTTGTCTGGGGCATTGACCCCTGGTAGGGTCTCCCATGACAAACAGGCCTCGGCGAAGGGGTCAGACAGCAGGGCGAAGACAGCAACAGGCTTTCCAGGTTAACTCCTGAAGAAGCTGACAGGTACAGGGTGGCAAGGAGGGTTGCAGCTTCGGTGGTTGCAGATGCAAAAACTTGGGCATGGGAGGAATTCAGGGAGGCCRTGGAGGAGGACTTTTGATTGGAAGTTCTAGCAAACTGTTTGGCGACTCAGAAAAGGAAAGCATTCCCTGTCCCAGTCTGGGTGGGGAACTGCTGACCATGACTGAGAATATCATTGGGCAGTGGAAAGAACACTTTGAGGATCTCCWRTATCCACCCTCCATGTYCACCTTTGAGGAGGCMGAGTCTGAAGACTCTGGGAAAGACRAGTCCAWTACMRTGGCAGAGGTTGCCGAGGTAKTCAGAAAGCTCCTTGGTGGCAGGGCGCCAGGTATGGATGATAGTTGCCCTGAGAAGCTAAAGGCTCTGGATGTGGAGAGGCTGTCATGGTTGACACGTTTCTTCAACATCGCATGAAGGACTGGGACAACTTTTTAAAAGGGGGCTGAAGAGTTTGTTCTAACTATCATGGGGTCAAACATCTTGCCCTACCCAGGAAAGTTTACCAGGGTGTTGGAAGGGAGGCTCCAATCGATTGTCGAACCTCAGATTCAAGAGGAGCATTGTGGCTTTCGTCCTGGTCTTGGAACAGTGGACCAGATCTTTACCCTTTTGCAGTTGCTAAGGGGGTCGTGGGAGTTTGCCTCTCTGGTCTACATGYGTTTTGTGGACTTGGAGAAGGCTYATGACYGTGTTTCTCGCGGCATTCTGTGGGGCGTGCTGCAGGAATATGGAGTCTGTGGGTTGTTACGAAGGGTGATCCAGTCCCTGTAGAACCAAAAYAGGAGCTGTGTTCACATTCTTGGCACAAAGTCATGATTGTTCTCATTGCGGGTTGGACTCCACAAGRGCTGTCACTTGTCTCTGATCCCGTTTGTAGGGTTTATAGACTGTATCAGGGCACAGTCATGGAGAGGAGGCTGTCTGGTTTTGGAACTGCGTGATTTCATCTCTGCTGTATGCAGATGATGTGGTTCTGTTGGYRTCTTTGGWCCAAGAACTTCAGCATTCATTGGGACAGTCAGCAGCYGAGTGTGAAGCAGCTGGGATGAARGTCAGCTCCTCTTAATCTGAGGCCAATGTTCTTGASCTGAAAAGGGTGGATTGCTCCCTCTGGGTTGTGAGAGAGTCTCTGCCTCAAATAGAGGAGTTTAAGTATCTGGGTGTCTTGTTCATGAGTGATGGTAGGATGGAGCGGGAGATGGATCARTGGATTGGGGCCTCATCCTCAGTAATGAGGACATTGCTTCAGTCAGTAGTGGTGAAAAAAGAGCTGAGTTGAAAGTCAAAGCTCTCAATTTACTGGTCTGTCTGCGTTCCAATCCTTACCTATGGTCACGAGGCATGGATCATGACTGAAAGACCAAGATTCTGGATACAAGCGGTCAATATGAGCTTCCTTTGTGGGGTGGCAAGACTCAGTCTTAGAGATAGGGTGAGGAGCTCCATCATCCAGGGGGAGCTCAGAGTAGGTTTACAAATCTAAATGGTTAAAGCTTTTTGTTTGTTTTTCTTTAGGCAGCCATGAAACAAGTGAGCTGCATCATTTATGTCTTTCTGTTGGTCACCATCACTGGTAAGAACAGATTACATTTTATTTATTGAAGAAAAAAATGTTTTTATTTAAATATTTTTTTTATCTGTCTCATAAAAAGGGGCCACTGAGAGCAGCATAGTAGGTGGTAAGGTTGCAGAGAAGCACTCCAGACCCTACATGGCATCCATCCAGGTTAATAAGKACCATCACTGTGGTGGGATTCTTATTCGCAAGGATTATGTTCTAACTGCAGCTCACTGCAAAGAGTAAGTTTGATTGGCAGCAATGTCAAATTTTCTTTTTTAAATCCTTATGGTTATAATTAAGAATCAACAAAAGAAAACAAAAACATTTATCTTTGTCTATTTAGCATTTTACAACTTAACTACATAATTGTATGACATGAAGCACATTAGGACTAAAAAATACACTATCAAGGYAAAAGAAACTGCTGTAAATGTGTATTTTTAAAGCACTCATATTAGTTTTTATTAAAAGGTAAATAATTAGTCATTGTTTTCCAGTTGTTATCGGGACATGACAGTGGTACTCGGCGCACATGACATCAGCCAGAAGGAGAAAAGTCARCAAAAAATCAATGTGAAAAAGTACTACGTGCATCCAAATTTCACTGGAGGATTTCACTATGACGTTATGCTACTTAAGGTAAAGTAACACTATAATATATTTAGGTTTTGTCAAATATGCCATTTTCTTTAGGACGTATATTTTTTTTTTGTACTTCTGGTTTAAATATGAAGCATTTAAGCTGTATTATGTGATACCGGCACAAGTAAATATGTCTCTGAAAAATACATCACCCTTCTAACTGTGCAGCTTCATATACACTACATTGCCAAAATTATTTGCTCACYCATCCAAATGGCAMTATACTTACAAATAGTACATAATTTAATGAATTACACCTTAAACTACTGTTTGCTTTACAGCTAGAAAAAAATGCCAAACTGAATAAGTACGTGAAGACGCTTGGACTGCCTGAGAAAGATGAAAACCTCCCTGTTAAAACTAAATGTGATGTTGCTGGCTGGGGCCAAACTGGACCTAAACAGGCTGGTTCAAATCTTCTGAAGGAGGCCACAGAGATGATGCAATTTAGCTTTGAATGCAAAAATATTTGGAAGGAGAATTTCTCTCCCCAGAATATGATCTGCACCACATTTAACACAAAGGACGGAGGAGTGTGCCAGGTTAGTAAATTAGTAAATCACGTTATGATAAAACAAATGTTTCAAATAATGAAATGCACAACTCCTTTTGTTTTTGTTTTCTTYAAGGGTGATTCTGGAGGACCACTTATTTGCAACACCAAGCTTCAAGGCATAACTGCTTACACTGCTGAAAATGCATGCGACGATCCAAACTACCCCCATGTCTTTACTAAAGTTCATTTCTTTCTGCCCTGGATCAAGTCAGTGATGAAGAAATAAGGCAGTACTTTATTTTCTTGTTTGTGAATAACAAAAAAAAACACGTCTTTGTGAGAGAAAAGATATATGCAAATTCTACAATAAAAAAAAACATGATGCTTATGTATGTGTGTTTTGTGTTTTTTGGAAATCATCTGTAACGTGTTCATCAATGATGACAGAGTTGGTTTTAAAAGTTTAAAATCAAGCCAGCCACAGTAAAGTGCAAAGAATGGATTGTTTTCTGAATGACTTGAAAYGTACAACTCCACAGATGAACTCAGSTGGAAAATAAAAACAACAGGAATAAATCGAAAACCTCCCTGCATTAGAGCTAACCACCACAACAACACTACTAAAGCCAGGCTGAACGCACATTTAACTGTTCTGGGGTTGCTTATAAAAAGCATGTGAGAATAAAATAATGYAATTTATTCAAAGTCAGGACTAAGAATGCGGTCAAATGATTTGGTTTTTAAGATTCCAGGAATAGGTCACAGTCTCACAAGAACAAAATCAAGTCTGCCTTTTGAGTAAAATGAAAGTAAAATTATAATTTAGGATAAAAAATACATGGGGAAGTAGAAATGACCTTTTGTTTTTAGTGAGAGTTGTGTGGTCCATTGTGTGCATTGTGGTTAAAAAGGTCTAAATGCCTTCTGTAAGGGTAGCTGAGAGAAAAACAATCTACAAAAATATAACATAATAAATTTATATATATATAAAATAAATGGATCACCTCATCATGGGGGATGTACCTACATTTCTGATTGGCTATGAGCCAAGTTACTCTTTTTCAGTGCAACAAAATCTCAAGTAGTAAAATTTGAGAATATTTGATGCCCTATAAGCAAAAGCAAATGTCATTTGTTTCTTGATAAACCTGTAGACTTCAGCATGCAGCAGTAAGTTAGGTGTGAATGCACCTCTTGCTTTTGGTGTGAACATGTTTTGACACCTACCCACAAGGTTTCCATGTGCAAGGTTTGGAGGTTGGCTATAAAAGATGGGGTGGGGGGGATCGGAAACCCTAACCTGTTCAGCTTTTCCCTCTGTGCAGCCATGGCACACACAAGCTGCATCATTTTCATTTGTCTGTTGGTCCCCATGACTGGTAAGATAAGATTCTTATTTCATATTTGCAACTAATGTYCTACACTTCTCAATTTGTTTGCCAACGATGTACTAATTTGACCTTCTTGTTTCATGGAAGGAGCTTTAGAAAGTGGTATAGTTGGTGGTCAGGTGGCAAAACCTCACTCCAGACCCTACATGGCATCGCTCCAGTTTCAGGGGCAACATTCATGTGGTGGGCTACTTATTCGGAAGGACTTTGTTCTAACCGCAGCCCACTGCAAATGGTAAGTTTGTTTAGTAGMAATTTGGTTATCTGTTAACAATAAATGTGTTTTATTTTGTCTGACATAAAAACTAAATGTAATGTGGTAGCAGTGCACTCATCCTTGCTACATATGTCTAATTTGAAATATTTTAGCTTTTCCTAAGYGCTAAACATCGGTGGAAAACAGAAGTATATATTTTTTTGTTTTTCAGGGGTGGGAAACAGGAGATGACAGTGGTACTCGGAGCACATGACATAAGCAAGAATGAGAAAACTCAGCAAAGGTTCCAAGTGGCAAAATATTTTCAGCATCCGAATTTTACTGGACAATATGACTACGACATTATGTTACTAAAGGTAAACAGGTTCTTAAATA